TTTGCTTTCTCCTAGGCCTGCCCCTGCATATAGTTTCTCTTCCTCTTTTCATCCGTATCCTTTCACCATGACAAACCATGTACATGAACATACAGCTCTGAGCTTTGAGTCTGCTTCCTGAGTCTGGGAGTATAAGGGTCATTCAGAGGTGCTGATGTGCAGACCAAAGTTTTATTAGTACCTTGTTGGACTAGCTCAGGTAGCCCCTACCTTCAACTACCATGCCACAAATGCATCATTAGATTGTTAATGCCATTTGTAAATCAAAGTTTCTGTCCTGCCTGGTCCCTCAGCCATTCAGTACCCCGCCCCCCAAATCAACCATGCAGAGGCTTATATTAATTATAAACTGTTTGTCCTGTTGGTTCGGGCTTATTATTAACTATTCCTTACAACTTAAATTAACCCATAATTCTTGTCTATGTTTATCCACATGCCTGACACCTTTTCTTAGTAAGACATTCTCATCTTGCTTCCTCTGTGTCTGGCTGGTGACTGACTCTCTGCCTTCCTTCTTCCCAGAATTCTCTTAGTCTTGTCGCCCCATTGATACTTCTTTCCTGACTACTGGCCAATCAGCATTTTATTATGCTAATACAAGTGAGAAATCTTTACAGTGTACAAGAGCATTATCCCATGACATTGGATTGCAGCAGCCATGTTGCCAGAGGCCTCATGTTTTGCTGTCTGTACATTTACTTCTCTGTCTTGGGTTTACGCTAAAGCTGAGGAAGGTCTCCTTGTCTCTATACATGTAGAGATGTGACACTTCCAGTGATAGATGGGACTTGGTGCTTTGTCTCAACTTGCTGTCATGGAGATGGGAAACTTCCTGAGATGGCCTCTGGGCGATGTGAATTTGTCTGGGATCGCAGTTCGTTCTCTCACTTTCTTCTCACCCAGCTCCTGGCATCACCTTCCCTGTAATCTCATTGCCCTTGGCCTTTGATATGTATCTCAGGCTCTGCTTTCAAGCTGGCCAAACTAGGAGCTCTGTTCTTGCTGCCATTGGCAAGCAGTTGTAATGGCTGGTTAGCCCCTGATAACCACCTTAAGGAAAGCCATCCTACAAGTTGGAGAAATGGTAAGTTAAAAGGCATCTAGGTCTGTAATGAGTGCACAAAACTGCCATATATACCCTAAGCTATAGACCTCCCAACTGGATAAATGAGAGACTAAGGGCTTGTGTGTTTAAGTCGTAGTTAATTTGCCAAGAAGCAAGTAGAACAGGGTGGCTGAGATTTAAATTAATCTTATTCCAAACGACTGATATAGCTGGAATGTCTGTATGGAGACTTTGATATACAATGAGGTTGAGATTAAACTAACTCTGACTTTTCTCATCCTAGTGATTTGACTGCCTGAATCCTAAGCATATTCTGGGGAAGGGGCACTTAGACATATTATTTTTGACTTGGAGTGAAGCAACTGAGGTTCTGGGTTTACTTTCAGGAGTTTTATCTCTTCAGTCCTCTTGAGCTGGACTTCTTCAACTTAGGGTCTCTCTAGACCTTTTTCAGTCCATAATCTTATGGGTTTAAAGAGTTAAAAATGGACTTAGAGCTATGAAATGTAGGGATGCCACCCATATTTGCATTCAGAGACTTCCCTACTCATAAGACCACAAACTCATCTTACCCTATGTGTGCACCAAAATGTCACAGGAGGCGGAAGCCCCTCAGGGCATTGTGAAAGTTGATCACAGCCTTCACTGGGGAGTTCCTGGGCTGTGGGATGATGCTTACAAAACCCTGTCATCTCATAGTGATGCTTCTGGCTGCTTCTTTCCTTTGCCTGAATATCACGGATCGGTCTATGTAAGGAGACAGGATGAAGGACAGGGAGTTAATCCTGGGGATAGTCTTGGCTCCCTCATTCGGTTTTGCATGCAGAAGCCACGATGGATGATGCACTTGGGAATGATACAAGCCAGCAGGTGATGAGCCTGGGACTGCTGGAGAGCCCAGGTGTTCACCTTGACCTTGTGTCAAACTTGGTCACATGCATATCAACCATGAGAAAGATCCCCCCCCCCCCCACTTTGAGGAGTCAAAGGGTCATGAATTTGGTCTCTAGGCAGCATATATGCGGTTGCCTGGCAACTGAGAGAACAGTTTAGTCCTTGTATGATATTGTAAGGAATTTTATCCATCTTAAAAAAAAAAGCTAGGAGCATAATTTAAATTTCTGAAGCATCGTGTGGGTGTTCTCAAGTGGCAGAGCTTTATCGCATATCTAGTTAAGACTCTAACTGCATAAACTTGCTGCTCAAGTTTTCATGCATTAGGGATGCTGTAAACAGAAAGAACTCTGCAGTGGGGCTGAACGAGCCACCCTTTTTTGGGATGGAGTCTGTAATACATATTAGAAAATCAAATCAATAGCGTCCTAAAATGCAAGGACTGTTCTGTGTCTAAGATTCCCCAGGATAAATAGTCTTTGTGTTGTAGCTGCCCTGCTAGGATCTAAGCCTGTTGTGTGCTTGGACCCCATCACTGTAGATACATTGGCTTGCATATCAGCCTGGTTGCTGAGTGCTCAGAAAATGGCTGCCAAAACTTTCAATGCTATTCTGTTCCATTAGCATTCAACATTCAATACATGATAGGAGAGAAAAGAACAACAAAGGAATTCTTGTAATATTCTCTCTCTCTCTCTCTCTCTCTCTCTCTCTCTCTCTTTCTCTCTCTCTTCCTCTGTCTAAAGACTTATAGATACAAATGTCTTGAAATGAAACAGGATCTCTCTTCATTGCACCCTCTTTGAGCCACCCACAAAGGACAAGTATGTTAGCAAGGATGAAGGATGAATCGTTTGCTACTACAAAAGCATTTCTCAGTGCTTCTTAGGTATATATAAATGTTGGAGGTTAAAGGCTTACCCTCAAAATGCTTTTTATAATGCCGACATCTTTATCTGGGTACAGGGATATTTTGCATTCAAAATGAAAACCTTCACTGCTCTTGAAACAGTTCGGTGATCTGGCACCATCTGAGCTTTACACGCGAGTTTCACTTATGAGCCCACGGGGTCATCCTATTAGGCGGAGTGCTGCATTCATGATGTTCGTCACCATTCCCTCAGCATGCAATCGGCCCTCTTGGCTCATGAATGTTTCCTTCCTGGCTCCCACAGACATTTGCGCTTGTAAATGTTGGCCTAAAGGCTTAAATCCACAATAGACATTGTGCAATAAGCGACTTATAATCAACCAGATGTTTCATCATGCTGCAGTAACCCCACTCTCGTGTTCTCTGTTACTCTTCCCGTGTTTGGGCTTCTGGTGCTCTTCGGCTGTGTTCTTCTTTGTCTTCTGCCCATAGCATGCGGTGGTTACGATCCCAGCATTGAACATAAATCAGAAGTGCTTTGAGACCTGGTAATTATACTTACTCATTTGTGGCCTTGTCTCCAATCTGTGAGATTACAGGAACCCCTTCACGTGGTGCCTTTGAGAATTAGCACAGTCCTTCCTTCCCTCAGTACCAATCTTGATGAAGATGAAGGTGAAGAAGATGAGGTCTATGCTAGCATGCTAACTGCATCAGTCATTCTTTGCAGGGTCTCGCTGTAGCTCAGCATCTTTCCTAAGTAGGGTTTGCTTCACTGCTAATGCATCCCATGGACTGACTAAGCGGCCTTTGAATAGCTGTGCTTGGGGAGCACTAACCGTCTGGAAGAACTCTGCCTACTCCATTCCAGATAGAATCAGTTCCACCTGGTTCATGCCTTGAGGTGATCCACACAACTCCCGGAAATTCATTTCTGCACTCAAGATTGCTCGTTTCTATCTGACTGAGGCCACTCTCCATTTATACTGTCAAAAGCAGCAGATATTTTAGTTTATGCCTGGGGACACAGGAGATAATTCTAATGTCCCAAGTGACCTTGGAGATTCATCATTTCTGTTTCACAAAAGTCCTTTTATTTCTGTTCTGGTGGAAGCTTCACCCAAGCCCTGGTATCTATATACCCGAAGAATCTGGAATGTTCTGCTGGAAGATCTACCCCAAGATCCTTTCCTCATCTCGGTCCAAATCCTGTGCCATCTTAGAAAGCCCGCCAAATGGATGACCTTTCCTCCAGAGATACTCAAGACACTCTCCCTGGGTATTTAAACTGCCCCTCAGAAAACAGATGCATGGTTGTTTTTGTTTTGTTCCATTTTTGGTCTCTTTTCTTTCTTCTCTCTGGGAGACTGAAAAATCATCCAGAAACCTTTTATACATTAAACCTGGACTTTTGCTAATACGATTTGATTTGGTCTGAGTTGGATAATTGTATTGGCAGAGAGACTTACTGAGGTGCAGAAACTTTTCAGTTTCTTTTGTTTTATTTTTTGGTCTAGTCTCCATGAGGGCTATCCTTCTATAACAGTATTTAGAACAGGGTCAGGTTTGGGTTGTCTGGGAGAAACAAAGGCGTGTTGAATTGGTGCTGAATTGTTTCTTCTTCACTTCTTGGCATTGATCAAGTTGATCCCAGTATGTTAGGAAACTCACAAAGAGCCCTGGGAACTTGTTAAAAATACCATGTTTGTATCATTTAATTTAAAAACATCTGGACAGTAATGAACCACTATGGGAAAAGAAATCCCCTCGTCATCAGGCATGTTGACTGAGTTTTCTGTCCTATCCAGTCCCTCAGTCTTTTAGTCCCAAAGAAACACATAGAGGCCTACATTTATTATAAACTGGTTGACCTATTAGCTCAGGCCTCTTATTAACTCTTTCTTACATCATAATTAACCCATTATTCTTTTTTTTGAAACAAAAGCAAGCTTTATTAAAATAGAAGTAATTTCCCAGAGGCCAAAGTCCTCCCATGAAAATCACAGTCCTGCCGTGTTGAGAGATATAATATTTGTTGAACTATATTAAGATGTATTACAGAATAATTGTTTAACTCTACAAAAATGTGCTGCATTTATTTATGCTGCACTGTTTAGTTTTGTTTTTCTTTCTTTTCTTTTCTTTTCTTTTTTTCCTTGTCTCTGCTAGCCACATGACTCCGTGCCTTATATCAGCAAGGCCCTCTCATCTTGCTTCCTCTGGGGCTGGGTGACAACGTCAACTGTAAGTTGAAACATCTTGACCTATAAATTCTTTGAAATTCCTATTTGACAAACATTTAAGCAAGTTTGTCATGGAATTACTAATAGTGAGAAATTTAAGGTATATTAAGTTTCCATTAAAAGGGATCAGTCAAATATAAGACATTGTGTCTCCATACTGATGTTACCCTGCAGTCTGTTATTTCTGAACACTGATATTAAAAACATCAAGAATGTGGCAGAACAGTGTGTTATTCAGACTGGCATGGCACGTATGGCGATGCTTGCTTTGAGAAACATGTACTGTGGAAGTTATAGGCACAAGTTATAAAATGAGGTTGTTGCGACTCCAATCCTGGCCGTCAGTGAGCTATATGTTCAAGCAAGTCTATGGATCTTTCTAGGCTTTGGTTGTTTCCTGTGTAAAAAGACGTTGGTGTTACGTCCCCAATAAGATCTTTGTGAAAATCAAGCCAATTACTGCCAGGATTGATGGTGCCTGTCTGTGATTCTATTGTTCCAGAGGTGGAGGCAGGAACACATTCAAGGAAGTCTGGGTTACATTGCAAAACCTTTCTCAAAACAAAACAATCAATATATGTATTCCATCTTTCAAAAACATTACTGTTATTATTAGTGGCAAAGTACAGAAAACAAAAATAACTGAAGTGAATTTAAAATCTGTCTTAGTCTTCTCAAGAATGGTATGGGACTTTTTCATATATGAAATTCCTTGGTTATGAAATAACATGTTGAACAGTTAAAGCTCTGAGAGGAAACACCTGACTAGGAGTGTGAGTGGGGGTGGGCGCGGAGATCCTCTGCTATGACTAAGCTTGAGCTGTGCACATATTACATCAGGCACACCAAAGAAACTGGATGAATTAGGCTGTTCCCCATCATCAAAGGTGAAGAATCCAAGCAAGGCACCAAGTGGCCTCTAAATACTTCAACCTCTGAATCTCTAAATTTTATACCAAGTTATTCCACCACATTTTCACCTTCAGCTCATCTTCCCTGACAATGACATGCTATTTGATCCAGATTTTATCTGGTCACAGGACAGCTGATGTGATGGTGATGTTTATTTTCCATTAAAGAGTGTGAGTGACATGTTAGACTGTCACCTGGAGATGGGAAGGCACATTCAGGGACAGATGCCATTGAGGGAGACAGTGTTCATGCGGCAACAGGGTGAAGTGAGCATTTGGAGGGGACCCTTAGGCATCAAGGGGAACATGCCTTCAGTCGGAATCTTAACGGAGGAGAACTAGAGCTGAGGCACTGTCCACTGTTGCACAGGCAAGAGACAGCCAGCCTGTAAGAATGGCAACTAATGTCAGTGGCCTTCCACCACATCTGTGACAGGGGTGTGTGTTTTGCGTGGAATTCTGAAAGCTGAACAAACATCAAGCAGGAAACCAGAGTTCTTGTCAATAGCCACACACCCGGGACACAAGGCATGAACTTGACTTGTCCCCGTAGAAGTGGTGATAGCTTGTTATATGGGCTGTGGCCCCTGATGGGGAGCACAAACAGACGAATGAGTCTCAATTGAGCAAGCAGGCTATTGTGGGAAGACTGCTCCTGTCTGAGACCGTGTCCCTTCAGCAGCTGGAACTCCTCCCAAGGTATAAAAATGGATCTTCCAGTGGCTGTCTTTACAGGAGCTTATCATGGAGCCAGGTAGCATCCCATCCGGCTATAGTACAGGCCAGAGCTCCCCAGCCCTCCTGCCTTCCCCTCCTGACAGCTAATATCTGCTATGAAGACAGTTGTCAGTTCTCTCATTTGAAACAGCTTGAGGGGCCCTAAAACCCCTTGAAACATTTAAGGTCTTCATCTCCTCCAGGTTCAAGGAGAACGTGTGTCTGTTTATAAATGTAAATGTCCCTTTGATCGGATAATTTTAAAAATGGGATAAAACATATAGAAATTCTCCTTCAAAATCAGCACACACATAGGCCCCCACAATGAACTGATTATCTCCATTTTGAGGGTATTCAAGTTGTTTGACTACTTTCTGTGGGGAAAGAAGAGAATAAACAGCCCCATTGAGCAAACAGCTCTCATTTCCGGAGGCAAGCAGAGCCCTCTCTCCTTTTGGACCGTTCAGGCATGAGTTAATTTCTGTACGCTACGGATGGAATCCAGGGTCTCGCACACGCCAGGCGAGTAGTGTCCCACTGTGCCACATCCTCAGCAGGTGCGAATTAATTTCGGAAGCTGCTGTCATTGCGATATTAGGTAAATATTTAGACAGTGTTTGCAAATTGTTGCATTTCGAAAAGTATGGAAGTGCAAATAGACGGTTTTTAAATATTGGTTATTAGCTAATAGTAAATTGTAACATAAGGAAGCGCTTAGCAGGGATGAAGTACCCATCTTCCAGGACTGCACGTTGGAGAACCTAGATGCACCAACCCCAGGTGGCAGGAAGTTCTCAAGGGTTCTCAGGATATGGGCTCAGGCAGGAAACCACCGCTGGGAGGAATTGCAGCAGGTGGTGATGGAGAAAGTGGGTTTGTACCCGGCTGGCTTGGACTGCAATGCTGGCTGTACTGTGGGCGGATACCCCCAAGCTCGCTTTCCTAAGCTCTGGCCCTCACTTGTGGACTGTGACATTGAGCAACACTGACCCTACTGGTGAGTGTGTTATGCGTTCTGTGGCTCCCGGTCTTTGCTCTGTAGGAACTGCACACGTGTCAAGGGCGTGAGAGTGATGTGACTTGGTCTTGGTATACTTTTCAAATATGTATGTGATAAAGCATGGGAGCCCTTGTGGAGCTTGTTAAACATGGAGGCGGTTCTGCAGTCTGTCGTGTCCAGTAATGTAATCTGTTAGGTCACCCTTGGGTTTCTACTCCTCTCACCAGAGACTGGTGGCCTGCAAAGGCCTGGATTCTGCATTTGGCAGAATACTCAGTGCTTAAAGACTCCTGTTGTCAAGCCTGATGACCTGAGTATGACCTTTGGGATTCACATTGTGGAAGAACGGAACCAGCTTCAGGAAGTTGTACCTCTGTCTGTACATTGTGACAATGCTTTTTGAGTGGTGTTTTATTCTGTTTTCTTGGTTTCAGGGGTGTTGTTGTATTGGGAGATGGCTCAAAACAACAAAACCACCCCCCCCACACACACACAAAACTGTAACTAAGTAAAAAGTAAAACCACATTTTAAAAAAATCTGTGGAGTCCATTGTATGTTGGTCAACTGAACATGAGGCCTGTCATGGGGTCGTTGATATACCCAATGTCACTCCATTGGAGAAAACTAATTTTTCTTCTTGTAGCAGGTATAAAATGGCATTTGCTAGCTTTTCCTAGTGGCTAGGTGTTCGTTTATTCATTCATTTTTAAAATATAACAAAATAAAATATAATGTAAAATAAAAATTATCACATTGTAGTTAATTAGACAAGACAAACCGTCAGAAGAGAAAGAGCCCAAAGAATACACAGAAATCAGAGATCAATGATTCATACTCTCAGAAATCCCATAAAAACACTAAATTGGAAGCCATAATATCTAAGCAGAGAATCTGGTACAAGTCCTTATGCATGCTGCTCCAGTCTCTGTGAGTTCATATGAGCTTTTCTTGTGTTAATTTAGTGGACCTTGTTTTCTTGGTGTCCTCCATATCCTCTGGCTCTTACACTCTTTCTCCCTCCTTTTCCATGGTGTTCCCTGAGCTCTGAGGGGAAGAATTTGAAGGAGATATCCCATTTAGGGCTGAGTGTTTTTAGGTCTCTCACTGTCTGTATAATGTCTGGCTGTGGTTTCTCTCTATTTTTTACCATCTGCTGCAGAAGGAAGCTTCTCTGATGACTGAACAAGGCACTGATCTATGAGTACAACAGAATATCATTTAGGAGTCATTTTATCATTTCATTAAAACCATTTTTTTTAGATTAGTATTATTTGGTTTTACCCTAAGTTCCTGGGATATCTAGTCTCAAATTCTTGGTCATGGAAGCAGTGTCTGGTATGAGTTTCATCTCATCGAGTAATCCTTACGTCAAATCAGTTATTGATTGGTTACTCCCAAAAGCTTTGTGCCACTATTGCCTTAGAATATCTTGCTGGTAGCACACTATTGTAGATAAAGGGCTTGTCGCTGGGTTGATATTTGTGTTTTTCTTTTGGCAGTATGTGGCTTACCTTCCTGTACTAAAGATATTAGAATATGGTGGTGAAGGCTCTCTTTACCTTTGTAAAGTAGGCACCAGATCAACTTCTCCAGGCGCAGTCAGTTATGTAGGTGTTGTCTTGAACAATGGGCCCTGATATCAGTTTGCGGAAAGCAATCTATAGTCTTGGCAACAATGTGGGTTGTTTGGGAATTCCCATCAGGTGGCCCTTTTGGCCAACAACTCAAGTAAATGTAATCTAATCCTGGTACTGGAAGCTTCACTTAGTGAAAAGAGAAGGCCACTTGGAATTCTATCTTCTCCATGATTTGGCAATTTTATTTAGATTACTTTCATATATATATTTTAGAAAGTTCCTACTTCCTAAAATACTACATATTACCTCTAAAATGTCCCTTAATTTTAACTGTCTCTTCCTGTATCCCCTCCCACAACCCTTCCTGTCTGACTTGATCCTTGTGTTCCAGTTTCCCACCCCATCCATCCATAACTTATCTATTCTCTTTCTCCTTCCTAGGGAGATCTGTCTGCCCTTAGTCCCTGCTCTATACTTCCTCTCTGTGGTTCTATGGATTGTTGCTTGGTAATCATTGGCTTAACATATAAGTGGGTTTGGAGTACCTCATTCATAATGATTTTCTTTTCTAGTTCTACCTATTTCAGCACTGCAAATTTCATTTTGACATTGGGTAGTATTCCACTGTGTAAATGTACAACACTTTATTTATCCATTTTTTAATTGAGGGACATCTAGGCTATTTCTAATATCTGGATATTATGAATAGAGCAGCAATGAACATGGTTGAAAAAGTGTCTTTGTGGTATGATTAAAAATTTCTTGGGTACATTTCCAAGAGTAGTATAGTTGTAT